GCCGACGCGTTTCGAGATGAAGACAGACCTTTGCTGGAGGCGCTTCTAAAGATGAAGACCGAGCTTGAACGAGTGCAAACGTCAATCAAAGCCCAAGGCGACGATGCTGCAAAGAGGATTGCTGAAGTCGAGAGGCAGCGGGATGCAGCTGTCAGCGAAGCCATATACGCCAAAACCAAGTTAGCGGCTCATGGAGGCGGTAGTCAGAACGGAACTCCACAGCCAGATGGAGCTCGAAGCACAAGTACACCTGACGCCGATCGCCTCCAGGACATCAGTCGTCGATTAGCTACATCCTTGGCTGCTCAGGGCGACCTGGCTACCAAGGTGGAGCATTTGACTCGTCAGATTGACGCCGAAAAGAAGGCCAAGCAGCTAGCTGAGGAAACTGCGGAAGCTGCGCAGAAACGCGTACAAGAACTGGACTCGACCCGACAAAAGGCCACGGCTGAATCAGAAAGTCTACGCGCCGAGTTGCACGAAGCTGAGCGTATCGCAAGAGAAGTCTCCACTAGCGCCGCAGAAGCGGAATCGGCATCAAAGCTGCTAGCCATCGACAAGCAAGAGCTGAGCGCCAGGGTTGCTAAGGTGTCCGAAGAATCGAAAACTCAGTCTTCTGTCATCCAATCTCTGCGCGATGCGGTCTTTGCATCTACAGAGAAGTCAACATTGTTAGAAAAGAAACTAAACGAGGAGCGGACGCAAAGCGAGAACCTGCGCCAGAAGTTGGGCCAGCTTCGTAGCGAATACGAGGCACGCGTCCTGGAACTGGAGACTACGACACAGAAGCTTCGCGACGCGGAGGAGCTAGCGGAGAGCCATGCAGAAGAGGCACGCCTTCATCGAGCCACTGTTTTCTCTGGTCTGCAAACAATGACGGAACGTTCCGAGCACGATGGCGCAAATGCCGATGAGCGCGTTGTGGTGCTGCAACAGCAAGTCGAAGCTGCAAATGCCATGGCTCGCAAGAACCAGACAGCGGCTGATCAAGCGTCGGAGAAGCTTCGACGAGCAGAAGAACGAATCGCCGGTCTTGAGGCCTATCAAGAGCAATCTAGTCGTGAGGGACTGACCATCCGTAAACAATTACAACAGGCCATGCGAGATGTACAGCTCTCCGAAGCTGAACGTACCGAGCTTCGCCAACAACACGAACGTCTGCGTCTTGAGAGCAATGCGTTTGAAGTTCAGCTCAAGACTCTTCGCAATCTTCTTGATGAAAGAGGTGTGAACCCTGTCGACACGCGACGCTCGAGGGTACTAGACAGTCCTAACTCAAGATTTGGCACGCCTGAGTTCAACCGCGTTCGTGAGCTGGAACAACAGGTGGATGCTATGACTAAAGCACACGAGGAGTTGCGTGCCATGTTCGAGGAGCGTGAACATGAGGTCAGTAAAGAATGGGAGGAGAAACTACAGGCGCTTCACAACGACCACCAAGCTGCCGTCAAGTACCTCCGGGGTACAGAGAAGATGCTTTCGAAGATGAAACAGGAGCTTGATCGTTACAAGAGCGCGAACCTGAAGCTGGAGGAAGAACTCACCCAAGCGAGACAAGACAAGCGTAGCCCTGCTGACGAAGCTAATCACGCCGAGTTGGACGCAGAACGCACGGCACTCCGCTCGGAGTTGGACAAGTCGCGGGAGAACATGGAAGCTACCGTTTCGCGTTTCGAGACCCAGCTGTCCAAACTGCAGTCCGACCTGGCTTCTGCTCGCGCCGATGCCGAGACGGCAACGAACGCCACGAAGCAGGCCGAGCACCAGGCGGCTCAGTTCCAGGCAGACCTCGAATCGCTTCGCCGACAGTATGCACAGACAGAAGAGCGTGCACGCGAAGCTGAGAGCCGCGTCCAAATGTTCCTCGATCAGTTTGAGACATCGGTCGACAACTACCGTCGCCAATCCCAGGTTCCGGCTGAGAACGCTCACCCTGAACACAGTCGCCACCGCGCACACGATAGCGTTGCATCGGCCGAGTCTCTGTACAGCCACAACGATGGCTCCAGCACGCCAGAAGCCATCCCCCGCCCTTCGTCTTCGGCTACACGAAACTCTATGGCCCTGGACAACCTTGCTTCTGAATTGGACGCACTCAGGAGTCACTGGGAAACTACCAACAAAGCTTACCGATTGAGCGACCGCTTTGACTTTGAACGCATGCCTGACAACGATAACACTGATGATGTGGATGAACTTTCGCAATGGAGGAAGAGGGTGGAGAGCGACGATGGTCCACAGACTGCAACAGGCAGTCAGGACCCAAAATCTGTTCAGCCGGCTGCAACCATGATCTCGCCTACACAAGTCCACGGATCTTCGTAAAGGCACACACGAACCTTGAAACGCTTTACTGCTACCTGATGGATTGGACATGTGTTCAGCGATTTGTAAGGCGTAATTTGGTTTTTTACAATTTCTTCTTCTCGTGGTACCATCGTGTTTCGATGGGATTTCGTTTTATACCATTTTTGCTATTGCGGGATCATTGACTGAAGACTCTTGAGCTTCTTGCACCTTGGTCCACTTTCTGGCACTCAATTGATGTTGCTCAGTCTGGGCATCAATGACGTAGCGGTTTGCAAATCATGTCATGGATGTCAGAGGAGTTTATTGATTCAGGAACAACCACTGGCAAATGTAGGATTTTGATATCTTAATGTATATGATTTGGTATTTCAAAAATTGAGCCTTTGGCGCCCGCAAATTTGTTCACTTTGTTATTGTGCGAGAAAGAGGCTATTGCTCAGACGGGGCGCGGTTTGTGTAAAAGTGAAGGTGAAGGGGACTCGACGCTACTAGCGCCCCGACCTCGTCGCTCTCCCACGTGGCACAATAGGAACGACGGGCTCTGATTTGCCAGGACCGACCAAACAATACGGTGATATGAAAGTTACAAGCATCTTCGAGCTCCAGAATGGGACTTTGTACAGGAAAAAATCACGCACTATTGTCCGACGTCTCGACAATGGAGAAAACGATACACACGGGCTTAGAGCTAGTATAACATCTCTACAGCTTCTGGTCCTTCTCCTGCTTGCAACCTACTTTCTACTCACCAACTTCTATCTTTGCTCAATTTCTTCTTCTTCTTTCAACTTGCCTTGCTTCTGACGCTGGTCGTCTTTACATTCTCACACTCAAACTTCTTCATTACTCGGTCTGGCACCGCTTCTTTCGAGTAACCATGTCTTCACCTCAAGCTTCCAACTCTCCGGCTCGCTCAGAGGGTCCGGATTCGCATGCTGAAGGACGCAACGCTTCTCCTGTTCTTCCTGATGTGCCTGTCGACGCACCTGAAAACTCGACCCCAACCTCGCTTGCTCCTCACTCAGAGCACTCTGATTTGTTCAATACTGTCAGCGACGCCTTCGACGGTATCCCTGACTTGCCTGTCGACGACATCTCCGAACTACCTACCTTCAACTCCTTCGAGCCCATTGATTCCGGTCTTCATCAGCAAGACGACGGCTTGGGTGATCTTTCTGGGTTCCAGTTCGACGCCGACTTTGCTCAACACGAGGATCTCGGCCAAGACGAACAGGCCAATGATCACGGTGCCGTCCACGATGCCTCCGCTACACTTGCAGCAGTACCCACCAACAACCTCAACTTCGACATCGGAAACATGGACTTTGACCACACCTTGTTCGACTGCAACGAGTTCACCGGCAACCAAGACAACGCAGACTTCACTGCCACCAACTCGGAGCTATCTCTACAACATACACTTTCTTCGACTCAGACCCAAGACGGAGGCTGCGTATCTACCGCCGAGGAGCACATTGCACAAGCCTGCAACGAGAAGCCGCAGGTGCCAAAGTACATCAGTTCCGATGCCGAGTTCAACTTTGAGGAGTTCTGTGCACGCTTCCACTCCGGAGAACTCAGTCCAGCTCAACAGGTTAAGGCTGTCGCCGCCTTGACCGAGAAGAAAAAGGACGCCGTATACCAGGATCTGATGCGCTCTCTTGGATTCCAACCGGCCAAGCCAGGTGCTCCGGTCCTGGAGGGAGCTCTCACCGAGGACAACTACTTACCCATTCCATGGGAGCCCGAGGTAGATGAGGATGGATATGAGATTATCCCCATCGAATTCGACGCTCCTGAGCCTGATCCGTCGGATCCACAGCCCATCTATCCAGCATTTAGCGGGCGCTTCAAGACTGGCGCAGCCGCTAGAGCATACCGCAAGCGCGCCCGCGTTCCAAAGAAGGGTCCAGCACCAGATGTTGAGCGCGTCAAGAAGTATGGACGTAAGTTACAGCATATTCATTATTGTTCCAACATGAACTAATCTGATCTCTTCCTAGGCATGTACTGGGTACGCCGTATCTACGATTCCATCATCGACATCTCCGACGTCCGCGACAGCGAGAAGTCTAACCACCTCGTTCGCTTTGAGGAAGAGGCGTACGATTCCACGGATATCGAGGCTACGGCTCACCACGTCTTCGACGAGGCCGTCGCCGTACACACGCGAGGCTGGGTTCGCCCCAATATCTACCACAAGAAGGTGGTTCGCGGCAAGCTCATGGATATCAGCAAGACGAGCGTGGAGAGGCGCTTGGCCCGGATCTGTTTGTTGTTGAAGCACGTGAAGGCGGCGTGCGATGATGCCTTGCGTGGAGGTCTTACTCTTGCGCTCTTGTGCGACAACCCCGAGGCGAGGGGCTCCACCAAAATTTCGAACAACAGTGGCAACGGAAAGCGTGGAAAGAGATTGAAGGTCGTGAAGAAGATGTTGAAGGCTGGGTTCACGGTTGAGACAGATGACGAGGAGTCTGACGAAGAGCATGGCGAGAACGAAGAAGGGGAAGGCGAAGGCGAGGAGCGAAGTTGTGATGAGGTTTGATGGTGATGGTGGCTGCGATGGATGCCGGATCTTCACTGCTTTTCGATCCATTCTTTTTGAGCTCTCTGCTTGAGCGGCTGGTCCGCACAAGAGGCTTAGATGTCCGTTCGATGTCAACTTCCATATCACGTAGCCTTTTTCAAGCTCAGTAGAACTTCACACCTCCAACGCTTTCTACTTCTTGTTTTGTGAACTTTGTCCTCGGTGTCTTTTGTTGGTCCTTATCCGGTGTTTGAGCAGTCTCTTGCATAGCAGCATCTTTCTGTGCCTTCCTCCTCTTCTTACTTTGGAAAAGAGCCTCCTCGTCCTGGATATCTTTCAGAACTATGACATGTCAGCTTCCAGACTGTCTCTAGTCATGTCGTGTTCCAGAGTGTTGGCTTACCCTCAGCCCATTCTCTTTCGTCGGCCTCATTGCCCGTTCCCAAAACCGCTTCTACAGAGACGTCTTCCCCTCTCTGTACACGCTCAATGACCTCTTTCAACACCCCAATCTTCGCTTCGGCTTTGCGAAGGTTGTGTGTCCTCTCCTGCTTCAACCATAATATCTGGATAGCCTGGCTGCCAACGAGCAATCCAAGGATGATGTAGGGGGTAGCGGGGTTCCACTCTTTGCGCCTAGGTCTCTCAGAGCGCGTCTTGAGTGGTGTGGGTATCAGAGAGGCCCAGAAGCTCGGCTGGACAATGCGCGGGAGGGACATGAAGCGTGGGTGGGACAGCGGGTGTGCGAACATGGCGAAAGCGCGCGCGTTCGGACGCGTCGGCGCGAGTAGGGCGGTACGGTGGCCTACGGGCATGCGTAGCAGCTGGCGGAAGAGTCCGGATGGGTCCATGGCTAGACGTTGCTTCGACAGGTGGGCTCAGGGCGCGTGGGATGGAACTTTTGGTATCTCTACCATATTTTCGGATGCAGCGGCTCGAAGTAGTTAGCGCTGTTGGAGATACCGAGGTCCCGCCTGCATCTCGCATCATTGACAGTGCTCGATCAGCGTCATGTCTCTTTACATTCACGACGCTCGAATATGAGTAGATTTGCGAACAAGGAAGGCGCAAGAGGAGCCACAGGAGGCGACGAGGAGGATCTGTCGCCATTCCAGAAAGTCTCGCAATGGTTCGAGGCCATACGCGACAGTGATTACGATGCATGTTACCTTATTGAGTCCGTCGTGCTACTCTAATGCTATATCTGTAGGGCCACGATGCTATCCTTGCGCGAGAACTCAAGATCGAATCAGTTACCTATGCGCCGACAAGCAGCAATCCTCACGAGTCGCGCAATGTTATGAGCTTCACTGTGCCTAAGCAGCTGTGCAACGCTGGTGGTATGCTTCATGGCGGAGCTGTGGCTTTGATCTTTGACATTACGACTTCCATGGCCATTCAACCTTGTATCCGCGAAGGGTTCTGGGATGGTGGACATGTCTCACGTAACTGTAAGTGCAATCTTGAAGCATCCAAGAGGTTGGAATATGGAATGTGCCTGGGACGTTGCTAACCACTTGCTTGACTCGGTGTAGTGAACACGACCTACCTTAGGCCTGCCGCTGAGGGGACAAAGGTCTTCGTCGAGAGCTGGGTCGTCCATCTTGGGAAGCGATTAGGCCAGACGAGGGGGTTGATGAGGCTGGGATCTGAAGACGGCAAAGTCGGCTATACCTGTGAACATGGGAAAGTGAGCCTGGGTAGTAATCTGTAATAAATGCAAACGTCGGAGGCTGATAGAAAGAAAGACGGCGAAATGATGCGACATGTTGTTTGTGAAGGGATGCAGGTTGCGACTAGTGGACCCTGTATGTCATAGCCGTGTAGCCAACCCCAGCGCCAGTGCATAGCTGCCATGGCCATACCGTAGGCTTCCCACGGCACCTGCGACTTCCACTGCCACCACACCCACACACACCCAATCATTGCGCCAATGGACCTTGGAGATGAAGGGAGCTCTCCGTGGGGAGGTACGTGTCTCTTGCCTTGCCGACGACACTGCGCACAGCTGACAAGCCTCCAGATGTGCCCTCACGATCGAGCCCTGCGCCGAGTACTCACAAAGTAGAGCAGAACGACAACCTGGACGCCGAATCTTCCACAACCTCTTCCAAGCCAGCGACCGATGCTGCCCCTACAGCCTCCGCCGCCCCGCGCTCGCCCGCAGGACGCGGCCCCCGGCGGCGACAGTATGGCCTGCAATCCACCAAGCTTGAGGCTGTGGATGACCCGCTGGGCCCTCTAGGTGCTCCCTCGCCGTCGACAGGCCCTGAGGTTGCTCCTCCAGCGCCGCCTCAGAAGGAAGCTGCTGCGTCGCGCACCACTCGGGCCGCCCCCGACGCCTCCACGTCTTCGCTGCGCGGCATGATGGATTCGGTCGACCTTGATGACGACGACGCGCAGCTACGCTCTTCTCAAGGAGCCAGAGTACCGCCTCCAGTACAGGCTCCTTCGAATGCCGCACCCCAGCGCCAGACACAGCCAAGCGTCAGCGTCGAGCAGGCCGCGAAGCCGTCCTTTGCCATTTCGGTGGGCGACCCTCACAAAGTCGGGGACCTCACGAGCTCGCACACAGAATACTCCGTTACTACCAAGACGACGTCCAAGGGCTACCGCAACCCCGAGTTTACTGTCTCGCGCCGCTACCGCGACTTCCTCTGGCTATACACACAACTGCACAACAACAACCCCGGAGTCATTATCCCTCCACCACCGGAGAAACAGGCCGTTGGGCGCTTCGAGGCCGACTTCGTTGAGTCGCGACGCTCCGCTTTGGAGCGTATGCTGAACAAGGCGGCTGCGCATCCAGTGTTGCAACACGACAGTGACTTGAAGCTGTTCCTCGAAAGCGAAGCCTTCAACATGGACATCAAGAACAAAGAGCGCAAAGACCCCGGCATAAGCGAAAGCAAAGGCATGTTTGGCTCTATGCTCTCTGGCAGCAGTGGTAAATTCGTTGAACACGACGACGTACGTACAACACTTCTCATGGTTAGTCACTATGCTAACGCTATCACAGTGGTTCCACGACCGCAGAATCTACCTCGATGCTCTAGAGGCACAGCTAAAAGCTCTTCTCAAGGCTACCGACTCTGTAGTCACACAGCGGAAAGGTCTAGCTGAGGCGTGTGGCGACTTCTCGGCTTCTCTGCATTCTTTGTCTGCTGTCGAGTTATCACCATCTCTATCCGGTCCGCTTGACAGCCTATCCGATATCCAGATTCGCATTCGAGAGCTTTACGAGCGCCAAGCCCAACAAGACATCCTCACCATGGGCATCGTAATAGACGAGTACATTCGTTTGATAGGTTCTGTAAAGACCGCATTCCAGCAGCGACAAAAGGCCTACCACTCCTGGCATTCCGCCGAACAGGAGCTACAGAAGCGGAAAACCAATCAGGACAAACTCTTGAGGCAAGGCAGATCACAGCAGGACCGTCTCAACCAGCTTAGCGCCGACGTTGCAGATGCCGAACGCAAGGTCCACCAAGCAAGGCTGCTTTTCGACGATATGGGTCGTCTGATGCGCAGTGAGCTGGAGCGCTTTGAGAGAGAAAAGGTCGAAGACTTCAAGTCAGGCGTGGAAACCTTCTTAGAGAGTGCTGTAGAAGCACAGAAGGAAGTGAGTTCACCTACCACATCTAGAATTCCGGCTTACTGACTGGCGTACTAGCTCATCGAAATTTGGGAGACCTTCCTGATGCAATTAGACACGGATGAAGGCGATACTTTCGTCCCTCCCGCGGGTGTCGTCGCTTCGTCGAACGTGGATGAGGCACCAAGTAATGATCCTACCAATAACCAAGACTCAGAAAGACCGGATGTGGGTGACGAAGGTGTGTCAGAGGACCAAGACTAGAAGGGCTACACGAGTCGTGAAGCCTTTGCCATGTGGCAGATGTGGGCGCGGCGTTGTGAGGATTAGCGCTCATGTCGGGATAACAAACCCCGATTCCCGTATATACCGCGCGGGTTAGAGATACTCGGTGCTCGCTAGACAGTATGTCAATTGAGTCGCATGTGGATACTGGATAATTCATAACCTGGGATGCGTGGAGCACCTCCCTGTTTGGATTTGCTAAGATCATTGCAAGTAATCGAGCTCACGCTGAACTGCCTGATAGCCAGACTATGTGTACCACCAGGCCTTGACTTTACACATTGACAATTGACATAATTGGCTTTCAAGTTGTCAGCTATGCGTTTCGTTACGTCCTACATGGCAGTGCCTTGCGTCATCATAATCGGAGGTGCGCGTCTATCCGCTCCAGTTTTCGCTTCCTTCGGCGTGATGTTGCATGTCGGGCCAGGCGCGGGGTTGAGAACACTGTATCGTCAGCTGTTGGCCAAGTAGGCGCCGGCAAAAGAGGCGGTTCGCAGCCGGCTAATTCATTGCGGGCAGTCGCCGACATCTTCGATGAGAAGCACCGTATATAGCTGAGCAGTCGTGCGAAAGCATCGCAAACAATACACATAGCGTCCATCCCACCATCATGCCACTAGTCCGTAATCCCATTCTTCCAGGTTTCAACGCGGACCCGTCGGTCCTGCGTGTTGGAAATGACGGTAAGATATTGTGATGTTCAACTTGAGAAACGAGCTAACCAGAGCACCATAGTGAGTATTATAGTCTCTACAACTTCCCGTTTTCGACTGCGAGACTACCTCGAAAGCCACAATTAGGATGGTTTGATGTGATAGGGGGATTTTTGAACCTCAGACCTCAGAAGGAGAACATGGCACAGACTAATTGTGTCAAACTAGTACTACATTGCAACATCCACTTTTGAGTGGTATCCAGGAGTGCAAATACACCACTCCACGGATCTCGCCAACTGGGAGCTCGTAACACGCCCGCTGAGCAGGAAGAGTCAATTGGATATGCGGGGTGACCCGGATAGTTGCGGTACGTATTCGACCAAGATTGACTAAATTCGCGCATTGCCTAACAGACTTTAGGCGTATGGGCACCTTGCCTCACACATGACGGCAGCAAATTCTGGCTGGTGTACACAGACGTCAAACGCAAGGATGGCTCCTTCAAAGACACGCCCAACTACATCGTCACTGCCGATCGCATCGACGGTCCTTGGTCTGACCCTATTTACATCAACCACTCAGGATTTGATCCTTCGCTGTACCATGATGACGATGGCAAGAAGTACTTCATAAACATGCTGCAAGACCACCGAAGACGTAAGCAGTTCTTCGTTGTAAGTAAATCCCCTCCGGCAAGAAGTCGCCGCGGCAGATACTGAGCTCATGGATCTACTTTTAGGGAATCAGAATGCAGGAATGGGATCCTGAAACAAAGAAACTTGTTGGCCCATGGAAGACCATCTTCCCCGGTAGCGATTTGGCTCTGGTAGAAGGTCCACATCTGTACAAGCGGAACGGCTGGTACTACTTGTTGACTGCCGAGGGCGGCACAGCATATGAACACGCATGTACCTTGGCACGATCCCGCGATATCTGGGGTCCATACGAACTGCACCCTCAAAAGCACATCATCACTTCCAAAGACGCGCCGCTAGCTTCGCTACAAAGGGCGGGCCATGGAGATATAGTCGACACTCCGGACGGCAAGACATACATTGTCCATCTGGCTGGCCGCCCTACCACACAGTTCCGTCGTTGTGTTCTTGGGCGTGAATGCGCTATTCAAGAGGCTTATTGGGACAAGGACGATTGGCTATATGTGAAGAACGGACCCGTTCCATCTCTTCATGTCGACCTGCCAGCAGCGCGCGACGACACCGCATACTGGGCTGAGCAGCGCTACGAATTCAACAGCAAAGATGGTCTCCACAAAGATTTCCAGTGGCTCCGCACACCGGAGCCAGAGCGCATC